CGTGAATAGAATAGAATAGAATAGAATAGAATAGAATAGAATAGAATAGAATAGAATAGAATAGAAATTGCCTTTTTGTCCCACTGAGGGAAATTCAGGTGATAGTGTAAGTAAGTAAGCAAGTAAAGTTTTATTTTTAAAGTGCCTTTCATAGAAATAGATACACAAGGTGCTGTATAGTCATCAAATATATTAACAGTGTACAGACAGTAATAAAACATCAAACATACACATAAAACATCAGATTGATACATCCCAGCTCAGAGCAGGTAGGAGACAGGACACAACAACAGGTACCGGTAGTTATAAATAGGGCAGGACTGAGATAGGTCTGAATATTAAGACCAAACAGTGAATCAAAGCGATAGGATTGTTCCAGGATGAATAATGTTGAGACTTTTACAGGTCTTCAGAATTACAAAAGAAATGGATTCACTAATTTACTATGGACTCAGGCTGCGGGTAGCAGTAAGTGTTTAGCTGAAGGCTTGAGTAAAAAAGTGTGTTTTTAGATCTTTCTTAAAGGAATCAATGGGCCTTATGCAAGAACCGTTCATACGAACAGATTTGTTCTTAAATTGTGCATATGAGTGATTTAGGAGAATTTGTGGCATTCACCAATTTTCTCGTATTGTAAGATTTTTTTTCAGATATGAACAAAATTCCAGAATGATCCAGACCTGTCGTATATTTTACGAGCAGTCAGTCTNACTCTGAGCCGTTCAGAGGGAGACGAGGGCGGGAGCACAGTGAAATGATGCTGTGTAGCACCTTCAAAATAAAAGCACACAAATTAAAAAATACAAAATCAAGTATTTTTCTCCTCCAGACAAATGTGCCTTTCTCCAATATTTGGGGGGAYACGTCCCACCCGTCCCCCCCTGCTTCCTACGCCTATGTTTATATCAATCAAATATTTGAGTTAATTATAGGCCTACTCAAAATGGATATGATGTTACACTAACTCAACACATTTGAGTTAGTAGAAATTTCGTAAAATTTACAGTTTTAACTATTCGTTATATTTAATTATTTTCAACATTCGGGTTTATAGTGTACATGTCATAGATGCAGTAYTATTGGTTAAATGTAAATAATTACTGGGAAATGTGTGTGAAATGATACTGCATTAAAATTAATAAAGGCTTTTTTTGGAAACATAATTTTTCTGTCATTACTATTCTTATGTAGAGGTGTCTAATTTTGTGGTATTTACCTGGTTAAATGAAAAACAAAAATAAAATCATACTTCTCTTAGCAATTTGAAGCATGCAACAACTAAATACATGTTTAAAATATACTGCAGTACATCATGCAGCATATTTGGGGTAAATCTATTTTTAATTGACTTAAAGTGTAATAGTTTAACAATGTATTCCTACAAAGTTAACATAAAATAGTGTTTATAAAAAGCTTAATAAATATATTTTAAATTAATAGTCAATATGTTGTTAAAAATATACTATTTGAGCATACTTATTAAAAGTTTATTTAAGCGTGAATTCATTACAAATATATTTTAAGTATCACTTTAAAAAGTATGTTAAAGTGCAAGAGAATATATTTTTAATCATGTTAGAAATATAAATGTACAATAAGCATGCTATATGAATTTGTAATATACTTACCTTGGTTAGTTTTAACAAATATGATTTTGGTCTGTGAGAGGAAAAACATTCCAGTAAAAACTACATCCTGTTCTATAAACCAGTGCAGGAGAAGAGTCGTTTGCAGCTGGGGTTGTCCCGTGAAGCTTCAGAAGTAGACAGGTAGTGGTAGCTGAGAGTATTTGTTTATTTCATAAAAACAACAAAGTCCATTAAAAAAATCAAAGTAAATCAATTATTGAATGAAAAGGGGGCAAAAAAAAGGAAAAAAATTGTATATCTGCCCCTAATAAAAAAACAACTAACTCCAAGAACCAGTGGCGGCTGGTGGATTTTTCTCCAGGGGGGCTTCAACTCCAAAATAGACATATCTCAAAAAGCAATCAAACTTGTACTAAGTTGTTTCACACCAGTGTATTTATAAAACAAATGAAAATAATAAAACAGCATTACATATATTACCATATTGTCATATAGTGTTTGATTTTTATTTTTGCCTTTCTGTAACTGAGAAGCAAAATTCTTCATGACTCTGGTTAAAGTCAGGAATGCTTTAAGATTCTTCTTTAGAAGATGATCATCTGTTCATGATCGTCTGTTGACCTTTAGCCTCGGGTGGGGAGAGCTGACTGCTGCGCTTCTTTCTCTCTCTGCCCCCCCCCCCCCCACACACACACACACACCAGCAGTACGTCCTGCAGAGCGGGAGGGGAGGAGGGAAAAAAAGGCAGAAAGACAGGGGGGCAGCTGCAGCCCTAACGGACCGAACTTCAGTCAAACAAGACCAAACACTTTTATTCCTGATTTAAACTAGTGATCTTGTGTGCCTCTCTCTGCCTCTGAAGAGGATGGGGGGTGAAAAATCCTGCACCTCAGACCGTTTAGAGATGTAACTATCTGCGTCGCTGTGGTCACTCTCCATGTAGCATCAATTATGCTAATGCTAGCTGTCGCGTTCTCTCATCCTGGCYACACCTCCGCTCTCTAACCCCTCCCCCTTCCCTACCCACACCCCCTACCCTACCCACTTTGATGCATTTTTCAAATTTCACGTTGGGGCAGAGTTATCTTTTCACAGGGGGGTATAAGATACACTTTAAAAACAGCTGGGTTATCGCTTTATTTAACATGGCTCTGATAGTGATCCAGCTGTTTGCAGGTGATGTGCTGCACACGCAGCGTGTCCTCGAGTTTTTGCTATGATAAAAACATTGTTCCTGCGTGCAACAGATGGAAAGGTTTGGTCTGAGCTGGGGTTGTCCCATCTCACGCTGCTGCAGCTTTTTATAATAGCACGCAGCGCAGAGGGGTGATTGACAGGAGCGATCGGCTCTGAACGCAGCATGCATGTGTGCAGGACTCCCAATGCAGGACTAAAAACAAAAAATAAGGTGGAGATTGATCTTTTTAGGCCAAGTGAGCGGTTCATCTAAAGGGGTCTGTGCAGCCAGAGAGGAAAACGTTCATTCTTCTTCAAAAAGTGTGTGTGCATTTGTGTGTGTTTTATCTTGAGAAATGCAAAGTGTGGCATGTGCACATCCTAAAATGCATGTCTCACGGTCAATGCATGAGACTTGAGAGCTCTGTCATTATATTAACATCATTCTGTTTGCATTGTTGACATTTTCGGCACTTGTCACAACCCGTGGGTCGAACTTTTTCACCACCCTCCACAGAAGAAGACAAGAACTTTATTGTGTGATTGGTCAGAACTTCGTGGGAGTGTTTGTTTGTGCTGAAAGCGCTCAAACGCTGCATTTTTCTTCAACCACTAGCTTAAAAAAAACAGCGACTCGCTTCCTCGCTTCCTGTACCAGGAAGCAGCAGTTTGTGAAGAGAGTCAAATGGCCAAAAACTCATGAAAAGAGGATAAAACTAGCCTGGCCCTTGCCTTCCTACACAGTTACGCTCAATTCTATTTTCCCTTCACTGCTCCGTCTGGGATTTCTCATTTCTCCCATAGACAAAGATTTATTCAGGAGCATTTCATTCGGGCCAATCAGAGAACAGAATGCCAATTTTCTGTGCAGTGTCTTTAGCTATGGCAGTGGATGAAGTGAATGAAGCCAGTCCATGTTCATAAGGCTTCCAAATTAAATTAAATTTGTCTGACAAAGCAGCRGCTCTCATTTACAGTCGTCTYGTTCGGCTCAGTACTTCTCTCCTCTCAGTAGGGTTGTTTACAGCGCACTCGATTTCCGATTAGCGTCTTAGCTTAGCCTCCTTCACAGCGACGTACGTCGCGGCCAACAGATCCAATCACTTTAAACTTCAGCAGAGGCCACGCCTCCAGCAAGAATCCCTTCTCTATAGCTACGAGTCCAGACCCTCGGACAAAGCAAAGTGAAGGACAAGGGGCTGGTTTTTACCAGGCTAGGATAACAGACTTTTTTGGAATCCGACTGATAAAAAACTTTGGAGCTTAATCCAGGACCAGTTTGCGGATAAACGTCGAGTAACGAGTCTCTGACTTCTTTTCCCACATTGTGGACTTCAGTGGGATGAAATCCCATGCAGTGACGTATGCTGCAGCGGGAGGGGTTTGCCAGGAGTTCGGCTCGTGGTGTCTCAGGAGCCAGATTGTAATAAATGTCTAGTACGCTGTAATGGTTCAGAGCGGGTCTCGATGCCGTAATTACGGTGAGATTGTAATGGTTGGCACATCTGCAATATAAATTGTAGTGTATTTTGACCAAAACCTGTATGTACTAAAACAACTTGAAAACAACACACATCATTGTGTTCTTTTAAAAACAAAGATATGCTGTGTGCCTGGAATAGGAATATTCTAAAGGAATAAACACTGAGGGTTAGCCACTGTTTCAACATATGTGTTGCAACAATAACAAAAAACTTTTGCAACATTACTAACCACAATTCAACATGATTCCAAGTGAATCACTTGTTTCTGTTGTTTGTTGAACGTGTCAGAAAGACACAGTGTTGGGGGTGTCTCAGTTACTAAACCTGATGGCCTTAGAGACATGTTTTTATGTTTTGTGTTTGCTCAGCTGTGGCGGCCATCTTGTTGTTAGCAAAGGAAAACAGACACGTGCAAAAGCATAATAAACAATAATCTGTTTGCACGCTTCAGTTTGTCTCATTCTAAAATGTCTGCTTGGATCCGTGTCTGACTTTCTGTTACATTGATCGTTTCCGGTTCGGTTTGATGTTTTTCTGATGAGCCGCAGACCTCGCCTTCCGGTCTTCTGTTCGTTCTGTCAGCTCGGTTCTGATCCATTCCATGCAGCCTGGTTCTGATCAGCATGGCAGTATGAATTTATTGAGCGCCAGCCAATCAGCGCCCTCTTCTCTGGGCGAGCCTCCGCAGCGCTCGACCAATTACGGACGCGGATCGAGACCCATGCCTCCAAGTTGTGCAGCGACGTGGTCACGTGACGCAGGGAACAGGAATGCCAACATGGACCCGTGGCGAGGACGGGATGTGAGCGCGCGGCGACAATAACACGACGGAGACTAGGAGAAAACACGAAGCACCGACAAACGTCGACGGCGCGGCGACCCTCCGCCGAGCCCCCGCCTGGAAACACACGGTAGGTCGAGCTAACCGTCCGGGCTGGTTCCGCTCGGCTCCACGATAGACCCAGAGTAAAAAATAGACCCTTTTCAGTTTTGTTTTTTTGACCCGGGCGAACATGAACTCGTGGATTCCTCCGCAGGCTGCCACGATGCTGCTTCCTGTCCACGCAGCTGCTGCTGTTGTTGTGTTTTCCCTCGGTGTGTTGGTTCGGTTCTGTCGCCATGATGGTGTTTGCGGGCCGTGTTTACACCGAGCAGAGCTGCGGAGGGTCTGATAGGCCCGGATGGCTGCAACATGTGCCCACTCTGACAACAGCTGTAATCCTGCTTACTAAGCCCGGGGTTTTAAAGTGCCCGTGACATCAATATTTTTAATAGTAAATATAAATGTATTTTTGCAAAGATAACATTGATAATATATTATAAAAATGTTTCATGCCGCTGAGATGAACAGTTGTTGAGATATTTGCATGCGAAGCAACAGGAAGTGATGTCAAAGGGGAATGTCTGCATGTGAACATAGCGTTGCTAACATGGCTAACAACACAGACTAGAGAAGAATCTGATGTTTCTTTAGAGTATTTTAATCACTATCATAGAGAGATGAGAGAGTCAGAGGCTACGTTCACACTGCAGGTCTTATTGCTCAATTCCGATTTATTTTTTTAAATCCAATCATTTGGTGTGAACGTTCACATTACATTGTAGATGCAACCTGCATCAGACTCCAGTGTGAACACAGCGCTGATGTGACACGCATGCTCAGTAAAAGACGTGACGTCTCATCAGCCGGCTTGTTTGTTTACAGAGCTAGCATCCATGCTACTTTTTGCACGTTGAATCTGAAGTGGTTGTTTAATCAGAGCCAATTAAATAATTATCTGACGCTTGTTTAGTTCAGTGTTTATATCTGTGCCTGCCTCTGACTGGGATGCTTCAGAGAAGCATTTTATTTTTGTAATGAAACAAGGAGCTGCATATAAAGTATCGACTGAGTAACTTTAGGATCRATACGCTCCGACCGATGCTGGACGTTATTATCTACGTGGAAAATTAAAAGTAAAAAGATAAAGTAACTGGACTTGTGTTTTGGAGCTGTAAACACATGGAGCTACAAATTTAAACAGCGTGACTTCAGTTTATTGTCTTATCGATCCTTCACCCCCACCTCACTGATGGAAAAGTCAGTTGGAATGTGACGTCAGCGTTCACACTGCAGTCGCTTTGAAAACATCAGATATGTATCCGATTTAAAACCACATACTGAAACGGCCTGAGTCGGATTAGAAAAAATCTGATTTTGTCGCCTTCAGACTGTCATAAAAATGGATATGGGTCGCATTTGCCTGCAGTGTGAACGTAGCCATAGTTCAAATAATGTTTCAATAAACAAAAACCAGGGAGTTTGTTTTTTCAGAGTTCCCCTTTGATGTCACTTCCTGTTTCACTTTAGTTGAGCAAAATTTAAAAGATAATTTGCCAATTATGTGACATAACAGGTCAAATCATGTGTATTATGCCAAGGATCTTAAAYATAAATATATATTCATTGACTTTTTGTATTTCGTGGATATGCATGTCACAGGCATTTTAAAGTCCTCCCTTTAATTCAGGATAGGTCTAAAAAAAGTTTATTCAAGATGTTTTTGATGATAGAATTGACTGAYAACCATGTTAATTATTTTGTAGTACAAAATAGAAGGTGATAAAACAAGTACCCCACCCCACCCAGCCGAGACCAATTTCCTGGGGGAAACACTGAGGAAACACCAGAATGACATTTAAAACACAAACCTGAGCCGAACCCCTGGTCCACATCAACACACCCTCTGTTTTTATTACTTCTGCAACAGTTCTGTTTGCTGAGAGTAGTTGGGGGTCTTAAATGAATGCTTTTCGCTCGCCGAGTTAGACCCTTGTGGTCTGATGTGCTGAGGATGACTCTCAGCTACTACCAGAGTTCAGCCTAACATCAGTGAAACTGCCTGTGGTGGCCATATTGGATCAGACTACATCCAGTCATCAAAACCGGCTCATGAGATATTTTGCTAACAGATACATGCAGCAGCAGGAGTTTGTCTTTATTTAGTGAAGTCTAAAGTGGGGATGCAAACAATTAATGATTTATTCGATTAAAATTCCTTCCGTTCGATTAATTGAAAACATACGTTTAAGCCTAATGTCAATGTAGTTTTGCCTTCATCCAGTAGATGGCGCAGCTGCGCCCTCAGCCTGACCTTACTCTACTCCCCTGCGTTGAGCTGAGCAGAGAGCCGGCGCCCCCATGTGGGTGGCATCATTAATTAAAAGCGCAAATCTTGTTTAGTTTTATTTGCAACACGACAACAATAATGGACCACACCAAACTGGAAGGAAAAGTACCGAAGGCTGTACCGGACTATCCAGCAGTTTGACACTTAAAACAGGAGAGCAGGACAATAGAGAACGGTATGCTAACTTTAGCTTCTTGTAGAGTTTAAGTCTGTGTGAAGGAACAAAACAAAACAAAAAAGTTACAGTCACTGCAAATAATTAACATGAAGTTAATCTCATCTGTGTGACATAACCCGGTCAGTGAACAAAACAAATGAACAGTAACTGACGTCAAATCAGTCCAGCCTAGATAGAACCACAGGGAATGTAAACAAACACAGTTCCAGTACTCTTTTGTATGTTCACCGCTCTCAGAGGCCTATTGCATGAATCTAGGAYAAGGGATTAAGCCGGGATTTTGGTATAAACCTGAATTAATTTAGACTTGAATCGGTTGCATGGGAGGGGAATCACTTATGTGTCCATGGTAACAAGTGCTCTGAAACTAAACTGGTCCCGACCAGGTTTAAAGTGGAGATTATTTAATCTGTTAATGTTTTTGGTCAGTAGACAGTCATTTTACTGCAGAAAAATGTTCCTCTAACCAAGTTTTACAATCTTATATCAGCTAAAATGTTTTTTTTTCTTTGATCTTGTTTTAAGATTGATATACTAAACAAGATCAGAATATGTTGGATTATTAATCTTGTTAATCTGAAAAGTTTTCTGTCTGCTGCGGACAAGAAAGTGCCTGCTGCGAAGCAGGAGGAAAGGAGAGCGGAAAAAGTTCAAAACTTATGTCTAGCGGCAGAACAGGTTGGAAGATGGCTGTTTGATGTTATTTATTGTTTTTTAAATCGTCCTACAGGCTCTGACATGTTAGATAAATTTGAAACTGGAGTTTTGAAAAAATCTGTAAAACGAAAAAAATCGTGAGATTGCTCTATACGTCCGTATAGCTGCAAAATGACGTAAAATCCTTATAACTTATGGACAATCCGTACAAGTTAACATGTATGAAATAGTCTTTAAAATAATATGCAGAGTCCCCCTCTTCTTTATGCCAGCTGCAGCCCAAACCCCCCTGCGC